ACTGTTTTTCCCTTGGTGTCTGTTCAGAAGGGAGAGCTCGTGTCTTCCAGACCCGGCCTCATTCTTCAAGTAGGGCTGCCCGTTCTCCCTAGCTAACTTACTATGTTTGCTCATTACGGCCCATTAACCTAGTTTAAAGGTCTTAGGTCTAATTTTATTAACACAGTTGCCTTAGTAACCTAATTTGTGTAACCATAAAACACCCACTCCTTCCCTGAAGGGTAAATCTATAACTTAAATATATTTCCCCAAACCCGCCAACTCAGGGAGAACGCTTTTTTTTTGGGGGGGTTTAAGGGCCCACCCCGCTCAGGTTTCCCTTACGGCCCTTTTGGGACCCCCCCTTTTACAGTATCTGTCCCGTGGAACTTTGGAACCAAATAAATTTCCACAATCTCCCTTTTTCTATATTTCTACCCCTCCCTCGCATTTCTCTCTCTCATAGCCTTTTCCTTCACCCTTCTTTCTCCCTCTCTCTCTCTCTCTCTCCCCTCTCTTTTTCCCTCTCTCTACCCTTTCTCTCCCCCTCACATTTCTCTCTCTCTCCCCCTTGGTCTTATCCCTCACCCCCATACTCTCTCCTCTCTCTCCCTCTTTCTACCCTTTCTCTCTCCCCCTCTCACCCAATCCCTCCTCTAGCCTTCTGTCTGTGGTAAAAAAAAAAAAACATGGGTGGCCCTAGAGGACGGAAAACCAGAGATCTGGTGGACGAACCAGGGAGGAAAGACTGGGAGTTAGAGCTCCAAAAAAGGGAGGAAGAATGGGGAAGGAAGATAGTAGAGTTGGTAAGAAAATGGAGGAGCAGATAGCTGAAGAGTGCAGGAAGTGGGAAGTACAGGTCTTAGCAGCAGAAGCTGGGGACACAGTGCTTAGAAGAAAAAACTCCCAAAGCCTGAAACAGATTAGAGAGACAAATGACAATTCAGATGTGGCATCAGGAAATTCAATGTCAGGCGCAGACAAGGGGACGGTAAGCAACAAAGGAGACATGCCGTACGCGAAGGCCCTATCAGACCCACATGGGGCCAGGGAAAAGACGAGGAGCACACTAAGATCAAATGACAGGTCTGAAGACAATGAAGGTATGCTATATGCAGAGATTCTAACAGCCAACTGCAGTAGCAAGTTACAGCTGGTCATGAGAATAGAAGTTTCAGATATGACAGGGACTGAAGGCAAGAACATGTCAATGGAAGGAAATAAAATTCCTCAGAGGAAGCAGATGGAGACTCAATGGGAGGAGGAAAGGGCGAGGTCAGTTTTTGTGTACGGGCTCCAAGAAGCCAAGGGGGACAATTTCAAAGAAATAAAACAGGAGGAGAAAAAAATGATTGAAGGCATCATGAAAACAATAGGTGAGGGCGATATGACCCAGGTGACAAATTTTCAGAGAATTGGGTGGTTTGCGAGTGGAAGGATACGGCCTGTCAAAGTAATTTTCAAGGAAGAATCAGTTCGAACCAGGATTCTGCAAGAGAAAGCAAGACTGAGGGACAAACAGGGGTACCAGAGAGTATACCTCGACCACGACAGAACACAAGAAAGGACTACACTGAAAGAGAGGGTACAGAGATGCAAGGAGGAACAAGAGGCAATGACGAAGATGAGCAGGACCCAGACACAGGAGGAAGGGCAAAAAAACACCCACAGAATCTCCCACCAAAAGACTCCAACCGTGACATTCCCAACGCAACTGAGCAACCTATACTACAACCCACTCACTGTTCCCTCTGCCACCAACCCCCATATCACAAACCTCACCCCAACAGCTGTCCGTTATGGGCATTCTGACCCCACCCCCATCATCACAAACCCCTCCTCCCCTACAGCCCCATATAGGCCCCCACCAAGGCTCTCGCTCCCCCAACCCCAATATTCTTGCATGACCACAATGATAGAAAAGAAACTGAAAGTTTGGTTTCACAAACGCGGATGGAATAACGAATAAACATGAAGAGTGGAATGAAAGAATTTAGTGAAAAATCCCCAGACATCATAGCAGTCACAGAAACAAAACTCGGTGAGACAATAACAGACACAATCTTCCCAACGGGATATCAGATCCCGAGGAAAGATAGAAGGAGTAGAGGGGGAGGAGGGGTTGCACTGCTCATAAAACCCAATGGGGATTTGAGGAAATGGAAGGCATGGACATGATTGGAGAAAGGACTACATTGTAGGTACAATTCAGTCCGGAGAACATTAAAGTAGTCATTGGAGTTTATGTATAACCCACCACAGAACTGCAGGAGGCCAAGAGAGGGTACGAAGAAAACGGGTGATGGTGGACACACTTGCTGAGGTGGCAAGAAGAGCTCGCTCGAGCAGAGCAAAGTTATGGGTAATGGGGCGATTTCAAACCACAGGGAGATCGACTGGGAAAAACCCGAGCCACATGGGGGTCCCCAAAAAATGGAGAGCCAAGATGATGGATGTGGTACTTGAAAACCCTCCCTGCATCAAAAATGTCAGGGGCACAACCAGAGAGAGAGGGGGGATGAGCCCGCAAGACTGGATCTTTTGTTCACCCTGAGCAGTTCAGACATTGAGGACATCACTTACGAGAGGCCCCTTGGAGCTAGCGATCATGTGGTTCTGAGTTTTGATTATATAGTTTGAGTTACAAGTGGAGAAGGGAAACAGGAACTGAAGGGGACAGGCCAAAATATAAAGGGGGGGGGACTACACAGGTATGAGAAACTTCCTGCAGGAGGTTCAGTGGGACAGAGAAATGGTAGGGAAAATCAGTAAACGAGATGATGGAATATGTGGCAAAAAAAAGTGCAAAGAGGCAGAGGAAAGGTTTGTTCCCAAGGAAACAGAAATAATAGGAAGACCAAAATGAGTCCTTGGTTTACCGAAGGTGTAGGGAGGCAAAAACTAAGTGCAACAGAGAATGGAAAAGGTACAGGAGGCATAGGACCAGGAACACAAGGAGATTAGTAGAAGAGCCAGAAACCCAGTATGCACAGATAAGGAGGGAGGCCTAGCGACAGTATGAAAACGACATAGCTCGAAAGTCAAATCTGACCCGAAACTGCTTTTATAGCCACATTAGGAGGAAGACAACAGTCAAGGACCAGGTGATAAGGCTGAGGAAAGAAGGCAGAGAACTCACAAGAAATGATCAAGAGGTATGTGAGGAGCTCAACACGAGATTTAAGGAAGTATTTACGGTAGAGACAGGAAGGACTCTGGGGGACAGACCAGTTGGGGGCACCAGCAAGGAATACACCAACAAGTGTTGGACGACATACATACAGATGAGGAGGAGGTGAAGAAACTGCTAAGGGACATCGATACCTCAAAGGCAATGGGACCGGACAACGTTTCCCCCTGGGTCCTTAGAGAGGGAGCAGTTGTTGTGCATGCCCTTACCACAATCTTCAACGTCCCTGGAAAATGGGCAACTACCTGAGGTATGGAAGCGGCAAATGTAGTTCCCATTTTTAAAAAAGGAGACAGAAAAGAGACACTAAACTATAGACCTGTGTCATTGACGTGTATAGTATGCAAAGTTATGGAGAAGATTTATCAGGAGGAGAGTGGTGGAGCACCTGGAATGGGGAAAAAGAGTATAAATGCCCCAAACCCGCACGGATTCATGGAAGGCGAAACCTGTGTCACAAACCTTCTGGAGTTTAGTTAAAAATAACAGAAGTAAGACACGAGAGAGAGGGGGGGTCGATTGCATCTTCTTGGACTGCAAGAAGGCCTTTGACACAGGTCCTCACAAGAGATTAGTGCAGAAGCTAGAGCATCAGGCGCATATAACAGGAAGGGCACTGCAATGGATCAGAGAATACCTGACAGGGAGGCAACAACGAGTCATGGTACGTAATGATGTATCACAGTGGGCACCTGTGACGAGCGGGGTCCCACAGGGGTCGGTCCTAGGACCAGTGCTATTTTTGGTATATGTGAACGACATGATGGAAGGGTTAGACTCAGAAGTGTCCCTGTTTGCAGATGATGTGAAGTTAATGAGGAGAATTAAATCAGATGAGGACCAGGCAGGACTTCAAAGAGACCTGGACAGACTGGAAACCTGGTCCAGCAAATGGCTTCTCGAATTTAATCCTGCCAAATGCAAAGTCATGAAGATAGGGGAAGGGCACAGAAGACCACAGACAGAGTATAGGCTAGGTGGCCAAAGACTGCAAACCTCACTCAAGGAGAAAGATCTTGGGGTGAGTATAACACCGAGCATGTCTCAGGAAGCACACATCAATCAGATAACTGCTGCAGCATATGGGCGCCTGGCAAACCTGAGAACAGCATTCCGATACCTTAGTAAGGAATCGTTCAAGACATTGTACACCGTGTATGTCAGGCCCATACTGGAGTATGCAGCACCTGTTTGGAACCCGCACTTGATAAAGCACGTCAAGAAACTAGAGAAAGTACAAAGGTTTGCGACAAGGTTAGTTCCAGAGCTAAGGGGAATGTCCTATGAAGAAAAATTAAGGGAAATCGGCCTGACGACACTGGAGGACAGGAGGGTCAGGGGAGACATGATAACGACATATAAAATACTGCGTGGAATAGACAAGGTGGACAAAGACAGGATGTTCCAGGGAGGAGACACAGAAACAAGAGGCCACAATTGGAAGTTGAAGACACAAATGAGTCAGAGAGATATTAGGAAGTATTTCTTCAGTCATAGAGTTGTAAGGCAGTGGAATAGCCTAGAAAATGACGTAGTGGAGGCAGGAACCATACACAGTTTTAAGACGAGGTTTGATAAAGCTCATGGAGCAGGGAGAGAGAGGGCCCAGTAGCAACCGGTGAAGAGGCCTCGCCAGGAGCTAAGACTCGACCCCTGCAGCCACAAATAGGTGAGTACAAATAGATGATTACACACACACACACACACACACACACACACACACACACACACACACACACACATACACACAAATATTGTAGGGAAAAACATTTGATATGTTATTTATATAGTTATAAATATTTAATTTATTAATTCATTATTATATCTTATATTTAATTACTTATATTTCTTTCAACAGGTCACAGTGAGTTGTGTTGACTTGAGCACCCAGGATGAACCTCAGGATGAACCTCAGGATGAACCTCATACTAGTGAGTCTACTAGCATTCACTAGGTAAAACAGGTGCAGTACGTACAGGAGGTACAGTATGTACAACATGTGCAGTATGTACAGCAGGTGCAGTATGTACAGCAGGTGCAGTATGTACAGAAGGTGCAGTAGGTGCAACAAGTGCAGTGGGTACAGTAGGTACAGTAGGGGCAGTATTTACAGTAGGTACAGCAACAGCAAAGGACCCCAATGGAAATAAGTCACTCAGTCTGACTTTTTTGGGTTATCCTAGGTTCTCTACACATATGCTGCTATGTATGATAATTCTATGTAACTGTATTTGTGTATACCTGAATAAACTTACTTACTTACTTACTATCAGGTTCAGGTTCAGTAGGTACTGTAAGGGTAACAAGGCTCTTTTCGAATGACAAATAATGGGGATCAATAAACTTAATAAATTCTTCCTGTTGTTCAAGTATGTTGTCCCAGCAGAGCAGAGTAAGTGTGGTAACACAACACTTGTGTGTGTACAGGTGTTGGTGTTGACGGTGGCGTTGCTGGGGCTGGCGTCAGGGAAGATCATCACCAGCAAGAGAGACTTCCCTGGGCAGAGGCGCCTAGGCAGGACCAACTACCGCTTACACAGCTTCGGCAGGACAGGCTTCAGCTCGCGTCCCGTTGCTAGTAAGCTTCATCTGTACATATATATATATATATATATATATATATATATATATATATTATATATATATATATATATATATATATATATTATATATATATATATATATATATATATGCAAAACAACCACTGTGAAAGAGTAGTGAAATTCCAAGCGCTTTCGTGACTACTCACATTGTCAAGGAACTATGAAAGTAATACATCAAAGGAAGGCAATTAAAGGGTATAGACTACACCTCACAGTCAACCCCCACAACAAAGAAACACCTGACTCGCGACAATACCGGACTCAAAAGAAAAGAGGAACACTGCAGTAGGTCCGCTGGTCCAACTAGACAGGTCCACACAACATCCCACTAACAAAATATTCTACCCAAGAGATAAGGTTCATTATTTGTCCAATGTATTATTAAACTCTAACCAAATTTTATTAATTATAAATGAGTCTAATTTATATAAACCTAAGGAAATATTCATATTATTTCCAAAACTGCTTTTTATGAAACAAGATTCAGTTATATTTCTGTCAACCATGGACTTGTGATGAATGGTTTGAAAAACCGATAAGTTGAAGATTGAGACACTTATGCAGCATATGGGAATCTTTATTCAGGAAACGTTTCGCCACACAGTGGCTTCATCAGTCCAATACAAAGAGGAAGGCGTAAGGAGAGGAGGAGTATGAGGTAATCAGTCCCTCAGCCTGGAGTCGATGTGTTCAGTCCATCAATCTTGTAGAATGTACAGCATAGGGCCGAAGACGTGGCTTATATACTGTAGTGAGGTGAAGTGAAGCAGGCGGAGGCGGGGTCATAGTGGTACCATCCACTAGTCGAAGTAGGTCTTCGTCCAAAGGTTGAACAAGTGTTGAAGAATTCTTTGTAACAAGATCCCATGATGCTGCAGTGTCTGACAGTTGTGATGAATGGTTTGAAAAAAGGACAAGTTGAAGATTGAGACACTTATGCAGCATATGGGAATCTTTATTCAGGAAACGTTTCGCCACACAGTGGCTTCATCAGTCCAATACAAAGAGGAAGGCGTAAGGAGAGGAGGAGTATGAGGTAATCAGTCCCTCAGCCTGGAGTCGATGTGTTCAGTCCATCAATCTTGTAGAATGTACAGCATAGGGCCGAAGACGTGGCTTATATACTTGTCGGTTTTTCAAACCATTCATCACAACTGTCAGACACTGCAGCATCATGGGATCTTGTTACAAAGAATTCTTCAACACTTGTTCAACCTTTGGACGAAGACCTACTTCGACTAGTGGATGGTACCACTATGACCCCGCCTCCGCCTGCTTCACTTCACCTCACTACAGTATATAAGCCACGTCTTCGGCCCTATGCTGTACATTCTACAAGTTGATGGAGTTGAACACATCGACTCCAGGCTGAGGACTGATTACCTCATACTCCTCCTCTCCTTAAGCCTTCCTCTTGTATTGGACTGATGAAGCCACTGTGTGGCGAAACGTTTCCTGAATAAAGATTCCCATATGCTGCATAAGTGTCTCAATCTTCAACTTGTCGGTTTTTCAAACCATTCATCACAACTGTCAGACACTGCAGCATCATGGGATCTTGTTACAAAGAATTCTTCAACACTTGTTCAACCTTTGGACGAAGACCTACTTCGACTAGTGGATGGTACCACTATGACCCCGCCTCCGCCTGCTTCACTTCACCTCACTTCTTGGGTAGAATATTTTGTTAGTGGGATGTCGTGTGGACGTGTCTAGTTGGACCAGCGGACCTACCGCAGTGTTCCTCTTTTCTTATTAGTCCGGTATTGTCGCGCTTCAGGTGTTTCTTTGTTGTGGGAGTTGACTGTGAAGTGTAGTCTAAGCTCTTTAATTGCCTTCCTTTGATGTATTACTTTCATAGTTCCTTGACAATGTGAGTAGTCACGAAAGCACTTGGAATTTCACTACTCTTTCACAGTGGTTGTTTTGTATATATATATATATATATATATATATATATATATATATATATATATATATATATATATATACATATGTCGTGCCGAATATGTAAAACTGGTCAATTAGCAAAAACTCATTTAAAATTAAGTCCTTTCTAAAGTTATCTCTTATACGTTTTAGGATATATTTTTTTCATTAATGTTAATGTAGAAATTTTTAATTTTGATCCAAAAGAATCTTAGAAAACTTACCTAACCTTATTATAAGAAGAAAAATTTATTTTAGCCTAACCCAACTAAATATATTTTAGATTTGTTTACAATAATTTAATACTAAACAAACACAGTGAAATATATTTTTTTCGTTAGGTTCAGAATGATTTTGGCGAAATCATTGCATACACAAATTTTCGCTTGTCCTATATGGCAAGATGAGCGTTGCTATTTAAGCTAAGATCGCAAGTTCTGCCTATTCGGCACGACACACACGCACACACACACACACACACACACACACACACACACACACACACACACACAATATATATATATATATATATATATATATATATATATATATATATATATATTATTGTAACCACGACCAAGTGGTATTGATCAATAACAACACTGTGACTAGCCAAGGAATCGAACCCATGTTGTTTTGGCCCGCCTCATGGTAAGCGAAAACCACATGACGCTCTAACCCACAAGACCACCAAATCCTACAAGAATCACGCACCTAGAAGAGCTAGATGTTTTACCTTGATTCGAGGACATGCGGTGGTGTAGGTTCCTCTGAACTAATTTCATTCTACTCTCCGTTTAGTGTACTAGACTCAACGAGCAGTATTTTATATGAGGCGGGCCAAAAAACATGGGTTCGAGTCCTTGGCTAGTTGCAGTGCTGGTATTGATCAATACCACCTGTTCGTGATTAAAATAATATAAAATACTGCTTGTGGAGGCTAGTACACCAAACGGGGAGTAGAATAAAATTAGTTCAGAAGCACCCACACCACCGTATGCCCTCGGATCAAGATAAAGCACCTAGCTCTGCTGGGTGCGTGATTCTTGTAGGATTTGGTGGTCCTGTGGGTTACAGCGTCATGTGGTTTTCGCTTACCTTGAGGCGGGCCAAAACAACATGGGTTCGAGTCCTTGGCTAGTCGCAGTGTTCAATATATATATATATATATATATATATATATATATATATATTTATATATATATATATATATATATATATATATATATAATATATATATATATATATATATATATATATATATTATATCGTATATGCCAGAATAATATGCTATATGTTTAGATGTAAGTCTGAATCACTTATAAGCTTTTTTTCTGCAGGGTTTGGCTGAGGAAGAATTTTGCGTATAAGGTTCTTAAGATTAAGAAGCTATAAGATGAAATGTATGAGGGAGCCCAGTCGTCTGCTGGACACTTGTTCTCTCATCATCCACTGGCACCGACAGTGTCTAGTAATTTTAGCAACCTTTATATCTGTTACGGTCTAAGTCTACATTGCTTCCAGTTATATCAAATGCAATAACTTTCCCATCTCTCTCTCGGCAAATTTTCAACATTCATATTTTCTTCTCTAGTTAAAATAACACGTTCATATCTCTGCACGTGTATTTCCCTGCCCTTGTATGTTTATGTATGTGTATTTCTCAGTACTTGTATTTTCCTGTACGTGTATTTATCTGTACGTGCACATCTGTGTATCACCTTTAACCAATCATTGTATAATAGCTGGCATTTTTGTTCAATTTACTTGCCATTTCTTTGTTTTTGTCATATTTAATACATTTGTAATATACAATATACGTCTTTGTGTAAGTCGTTATATGACTATTGTTCTTATGTGTACATATTTCTAAAATAAAATTATTAATAAAATGTTAATGTATAATTGCAATTTGAATAAGTTATAATGTTAATTTACTTTATTCAAAGTGTTTGACAAGTGTAGCGATACACTTACAGAGAAGTGAGGTAAATCTGAATGCAGTGGACAAAATTAGATATTCACTGTGGCATACTCTACTCCATGCAGAGCATAGGGATCCAGCTTGTACCACTTCAGACACATAGGTTAGATTTCAACATCTTGATAATGCGTCCAAAGGACTGTACTCAACATTACAGAGGCACATAATGGGTCCACTGACTGTACCTCAACATTACAGAGGCACATAATGGGTCCAGGGACTGTACCTCAACATTACAGAGGACATAATGTGTCCAGGAGACTGTACCTCAACATTACAGAGGCACATAATGGGTCCAGGAACTGTACCTCAACATTACAGAGGCACATAATGGGTTTCCCAGGACTGTACCTCAACATTACAGAGGCACATAATGGGTCCAGGGACTGTACCTCAACATTACAGGTACATAATGGGTCCAGGACTGTACCTCAACATTACAGAGGCACATAATGGGTCCAGGAACTGTGCCTCAACATTACAGAGGTACATAATGGGTCCAGAGACTGTACCTCAACATTACAGAGGCACATAATGGGTCCAGGGACTGTACCTCAACATTACAGAGGCACATAATGGGTCCAGGGACTGTACCTCAACATTACAGAGGTACATAATGGGTCCAGGGACTGTAGCTCAACATTACAGAGGCACATAATGGGTCCAGGGACTGTACCTCAACATTACAGAGGCACATAATGGGTCCAGGGACTGTACCTCAACATTACAGAGGTACATAATGGGTCCAGGGACTGTACTCACATCAGGCCATAGGTCCACTGTACCTCAAGCAGAGGTACATAATGGGTCCAGGGACTGTACCTCAACATTACAGAGGCACATAATGGGCCAGGACTGTACCTCAACATTACAGAGGCACATAAAATATTGGGAAAGGTCCAGGGACTGTACCTCAACATTACAGAGGCACATAATGGGTCCAGGGACTGTACCTCAACATTACAGAGGCACATAATGGGTCCAGGGACTGTACCTCAACATTACAGAGGCATAAATGGGTCCAGGGACTGTACCTCAACATTACAGAGGTACATAATGGGTCCAGGGACTGTACCTCAACATTACAGAGGCATATAATGGGTCCAGGGACTGTACCTCAACATTACAGAGGTACATAATGGGTCCAGGGACTGTACCTCAACATTACAGAGGCACATAATGGGTCCAGGGACTGTACCTCAACATTACAGAGGCACATAATGGGTCCAGGGACTGTACCTCAACATTACAGAGGTACATAATGGGTCCAGGGACTGTACCTCAACATTACAGAGGTACATAATGGGTCCAGGGACTGTACCGCTGTTATGATAACTGAACTAGTTACACTGGTAGTGAACTATTTTCTTGTTTATATCTGGTCACAAACGTAATGAGTTAATTATGCAAATATCAATTCGGCAAAGAGCGAAACGTTGACCCAACAAAACCTTGTTGTCCAGCCTGAGTTCTTTTTGTTCTTGTTTATTATTATTATTATTATTATTATTATTATTATTATTATTATTATTATTATTATTATTATTATTATTATTATTATTATTCATGGGAAGCTTTAAATGCGTAAGAATCATACAACATCTGGACAATGAGAGAGTCAGAGTAGATCCAAGGAAAGGGATTAGTTCCTGTTCTTTGGATCAGGAACCCTTCACTAGCATCAAGGAACCTCCCTCTTAGACTCGTTGATATTATTCAAGGTATGAGATCCCAATAATGATACCTATTATGTAGACTGCATTATGTAGATTGTATTACATAGACTGTATTATGTAGACTGTATTATAAATACCAGTGAATACCGTGTATCAAAACAACACCAAAATATAGCAATTACTGAATGAAATAAGTCCGTGAATTCTCAACAATCGAGCACTAACGTTCATTTCCTGTGTTTGTAACTTACTTTGTAACTTGCTTAGCAGTCACAAATGTTGGGGTCAAGTCCCTGGACCCTTGACTACCGTCCATTGGATAGCTGTGTGATTCATAATGAAAATATTAGAATAGACACACTGAAAAATGGTATAAAATACCGACAAGTTGAAGACTAAGACACATGTGCAACAGTTGAGTATCTTTATTGATGAAACGTTTCGCCTACACTGTAGACTTCTTCAGTCAAATATAGAGGCCAGCAGGTGTAGTAGTGAAAGAAAGATAATGTAATCAGTCCATAAGACCTTGGAGAAAGAGCACTATGATCATTAAGGCCGCAGTGAACCTTTTCACCACCAGACAAAGAGGCTTTAAAATAGGAATCACAAGAGCATTTTGATCCTTAAAATAGGTTTAAAGTAAACTCTTTGCATATTACGCCAAGAGTAATGGATCTCTGGGTGTAAATATCCTGTGTTTGATGTATAAAACCTATCCTGTGTGACGGAATATGACAGGGAAATATAGCTAGTTTTCTTTCTCCTATGTAACTATAATATAGAAGAATATTGTATCATATTGCGGATGTATCCAATTATGTTTTATTAAAAAAAAAATGTTTGACTGCTTATTAGGCATGACATAGACATGAGCATTCCTAATGCCTCCTAAAAACTTAAACCATTTGTAGTTACAGACGACACAATCTTCGATACAACAGATCCAGGTCCTGTTGTGCTCAACAACACAGTAGACGAGGAGCTGCTGGTAAAGACAACTGCCTTCATGACTAACAACAAACTTTCTCTCAATATCTAAAATCTCAATATATGCATAATTTTTGGAAAGGTAAAGTAAATAGGTTTATTTAACATATAATATGAACTATAAAAAAATATAATAAAATACTATGCAGGTTTTGTATAAATAGTAAACACATATGCAACAGTCCCTCAGTTTGGAGAAGAGCATTGTTCCATAGTATGGAACAATGCTCTTCTCCAGACTGAGGGACTGACCATCTCAGAACTTTGAGGGTGATGGACTGATTACATCGTCTTCAAGTATCTTCTACTTCTATCAACTTTTCTGTACTCGACTGAAGAAGCCTACTGTGTAGGCGAAACGTTTCATAATAAAGATACCTGACTGTTGCATATGTGTCTTACCTAACAACATTAACATATATATAAATAATTCATCTATGGAAAGACGAGACGAGAGGTAAATTCCCAGGTTTATACTTTGCAGCACAAAATTTAAAACTCGCTTCCAACAAATAGATAAATAATAATATAAATAAATAATTTATTGCACGTAGTTTACATGTAATAAAATATTGATAAACACAAAGAAAGTCACTAACATGTGTGTGCATGTCGGGCAAGAGTTTGGTCATTCTTTTAAAAAAATACGTTATGTTTACCTGGAGAGGGTTTCGGGGGTCAACGCCCCCGCGGCTCGGTCTGAGACCAGGCCTCATGGTGGATCAGGGTCTGATCAACTAGGCTGTTACTGCTGGCCGCACGCAAGCTGACGTACGAACCACAGCCCGGTTGGTCAGGTACTGACTTTAGGTGCCTGTCCAGTGCCTTCTTAAAGACAACCAGGGGTCTATTGGTAATTCCCCTTAAGTATACTGGGAGGCAGTTGAACAGTCTTGGGCCCCGGACACTTACTGTGTTGTCTCTCAATGTACTCATGGCGCCCCTGCTTTTCATCGGGGGAATGTTGCATCTCCTGTCGATTATTATTATTATAATCAAGGGGGAAGAGCTAAACCCGGAGGATTATACAGCGCCTGGGGGGGATTTCGTGTGCAGGTTTAGTACCAATCCCTCCAGGACCTTCCAAGTTTATATTATCATGTATCTCTCTCGCCTGCGTTCCAGGGAATACAGTAATTTAAGTGTACTACAATGGGGATCTACAAGGGCAAACACTTAAAATACATTGTTACCCAATAAAAATCAACTGTTAGAATAATGACCTGGTCAGGTGTCCTGACAACTCTCTCTCTCTCTCTCTCTCTCTCTCTCTCTCTCTCTCTCTCTCTCTCTCTCTCACACCACTATTCAAAAGTCTAAAGTTTACTTAAAATACATAATACTCACACCTACTACTATGTATATTATTTATGTAGAGCAGTTAATACAAGTATCCACCCAAGACTCCGACTCCTGTACAACTGCAACACAACACATTAGTTCATTATAAGAAACAAGAATCTCTGATATGCTACGTTTTTTATTCAATTTGCTTAAGAACTCCATGCAAATAAAGGGTCCTAAAATTTGGAACTCTATACCATAGATGCAAAAAGTTCCTTATCTGCCCACTATTTAAAAAAGCACCACCTTAATTTGAAGTAAATTCTCCATATTATTTTATTATAATCAAGGGGGAAGCGCTAAACCCGGAGGATTATACAGCGCCTGGGGGGGGGGATGTGGAAGGCATTCAGGCTTAATTCGGGGAACTGGAGCACAGATCCAATTCTCTAAATCAAGAGCCCCTCACCAACATCAAGGAACCTTCCTTGAGGGGTAAATTCTCCATAGATTAACTATATTAATCCAAATCAAATCAGCATTTATGTGTTATTTATCTACTATCATTACTATTTTTCTACGTACGTTAAAACCAAAATTTAATTACATTTCAGTATTAACTATTAGAAATGCTACACTAATGAGTTGCATAAAACGGAAATGAGTCGTTCTGATTTTTTGGGGGTCTGGGATACACAATAAAGCTATTAACATAGGATATATACCCTGAGAGATGTATTTCTCTTAGGGTATATATGAACATTAAAATGGTATAAAATACCGTCAGGTTGTTAGGTAAGACACATATGCAACAGTTAGGTAAAACGTTTGGAAATAAAGATACCTAACTGTTGCATATGTCTTACCTAACAACCTGTCGGTATTTTATACCATTTTAATGTTCAATCTGTCAGACACTGCAACACAAGGGTATCCTGGTAC